TGGGCAACTCGTTCGCCCGACTTAACGCCATTAGATTTCTATGCATGGGGTACTCTGAAGCAAGAAGTTTATTCTTCGCCTATTCAATCAGAGCAACATTTGAGAAATCGTATCGTAGCTGCAGCGAACAGAATATCGCAAGAACAGTGCCTGGCTGCTACAAGAGCCGTGTTTGACAGATGCAATGCTTGTATTGCTGCAAGAGGTGCACATTTCGAACAAAATCTTCATTAAAAAGTTTATAAATAAAATAATTAAAATAATAAATTAAATATATTTTTTTCTTTTTTCGTGATTTCCTGCGAAACAAAGCAAAAAGGAGCATATGTCTATAGGACTTTTTTTCTTAGTTTTTTACTCCTCTACACGCTCCCGAAGTTTTGCCATTTAATTTGGAAACACCCTGTATATTTTACATACTTTTAGACATCGATACCTTATTTCTGTACAGAAGATAATAGCAATGGAAATATATTTTTTTTCCAAAACAGCATTGCCTTTTCGATTAAATCCTGTGCTACTTCTGAATCGTATGTAAGCCATTGCATTTGTACTGTTTTCGTACTTTCAAAAGCCGAATCAGCCACACAAAATAATCCTTTTTTCCTTCCTGTAGCTAACATTTGTAAGTGCATCTGTGCTATGTACTTAGGATTGATAATTTTATCTTTCGACAAGAAATTTTCCAATGTTTTTTTATTTGAAGGACATTTTATTTCTACGATGTATTCGTTGGTTATACCATCAGGTGATGCACCGAGAGCTGGATAATTTGGCAATAGATACAATCCAGCACTCCTTATTTGTGTACCTAGTTCGCGCTCTACTTCTGACAGAACTAGTTTTTCCAAGTTCTTTCCTCGTAACATTGCACTTGTTTCATGTATTTTACTCGCTCCTGTTATCTGTTTAACAAACGATCCACTATCTGTTGTACAATGTGCTGCTTCGTACAATTTAGAAGCTGTAATCCTCCCATATCGGAGTTCGTACCACAGTGGACAATCACTCTGTTTTTGTGTCAACCGTTCAGCTTCATCGCATAAGACTTGAGTCATCTCGGAACTGGCAAAAGTAAGAAAATCCTCTGACAGTAGACCTCCATTTAAATGAAATTTTAAAAGAAGTCTGTGCAACGATAAATAATTTGTTTTCAGACATTTTAAATCAATATGTAGTCGTGAAATTTGACAATCAATTTGTTTACTTTCTGCCAATTGTAAAACGTCGTGTTGAAAGGTGCTATTATCGGGAATGGATGTTTGTTTTAGTTTTAATATTTTCTGAATGCCCAAATCCTTGACTTCGATATATTTGAGTACCGTGCCTACACTTGATAAACGAGATTTTTTCCAATAGCATGCTATTTCTGTAGGCGCCGGGTCTTCGCTCCTTCGATGTACACAGAGAGAAAGATTTCTTTAAATTTAATAAATTTTCTTAAATTTAAAGAAATTTAATCATTGGAATGGTCCAACCGTATCGCTGGGTAGATGAACAAATGTGATTATTTAACTTCTTAAGTAATACATATCATTACCTAAAACAAAATAGTTCTTTGAGATAAATTGAATTCTTTGTTCACTGAAAACATTGTGTTGTATTATTCAAACATTATGCAATTTGATTCAAAAGCATTGTGTTATTTCAATTAAATAACAATTTTGTTAATTCATACATTGTGCAACTTGACTCAAAAGCATTGTGTTATTTCAATTAAATAACAATTTTGTTAATTCATACATTGTGCAACTTGACTCAAAAGCATTGTGTTATTTTAATTAAATAATAATTTTGTTAATTCAAACAACTTCATTATTCCATTTAAAGTACAGTATTATTTTATTACAATTATATCTTTATTACATTAAAAATTTTCCTTACAACTTGTAAATAAATAAGTTGTACCGTTTAATTTCAGTTAATTCAATAAAAAATTATTTACTGTTTAATAAAATATTGAATATTGTGTATAGCTATCAATGAAATATTAAATAACATGTAGCTTTATAAAATGCAATTGAAAGTATAATTCAATTGCATTTTATAAAGCTACATGTTATTTAATATTTCATTGATAGCTATACACAATATTCAATATTTTATTAAACAGTAAATAATTTTTTATTGAATTAACTGAAATTAAACGGTACAACTTATTTATTTACAAGTTGTAAGGAAGAAGTTGTAAGGAAAATTTTTAATGTAACAAAATTTAGCTTTATAAATACGGTGCAATTGAGAGAAGATATGATATTTGTTATACTTTCCATTCTACCATATTTACAAAGCTAATTTTTATTCAATATTTCATTGATAACTATACAACACATCTATAGAAAATTAATCTATTTATTAATAAATATTCTCGTAAATATAAATGTTTTATTTATTTTTTCCACCTATATTGTATGATTACGAATAAAACGTTGATAGTTTAATATACAGGGTGTCCAGCCCCACTCTTCCAATCTCCCGCAGGAAGGTAGATGGGATCGAAATAAATATAAAAGTCCTGTACCGTTTAGCGGTACAGGACTTTTATATTTATACAGTATCTGTAATAATAATCGAGATATTAAAGTTTGAAATTGTACTAATGAGAGCGCGCCTATAGAAAGAATAGAAACGGCTCCGATCGCTCGAGGTACAGCCCGGCCCAGTTTGACAAACGATGAATGCGGCGGCAGGAGAGGCAAGAGGGGAAGCGCGCCGTTGCTTAGCGCTCGGCA